CGCCGTTAGCCGCGAGAGATCGCGAGAAGGGAGCTTGGCCGAACCGGTCGACCGATCGACCAGAGGATCGGCCTCCTCGTGCGCGACCGGCTCCACCGCCACCACCTACACCGCTTACTGGCGGCCCAGTGAAATGGAGGAGAAGTCCTCGGCTCGGTTCTCCGAGTATCTGTTCGCCAAGATGGATGGGCAGGACGTCTCGGCCTCTCAGGGTCCCCGTAAGGTGACCGCCGACACCAGGAAGTTCATGCGGGAAAACCTCCTTCTTGTGGTCACCCTCTCCGGCGTGCTGTTCGGCGTAATACTCGGTGAGTATCCGCGATACTAGATAATCAAATATTCCCCGTCTTCGTCGAGCCGAGAGCATCCGGCGCTACGCGAGTAAACAGATCATCGATATGCCAAGTAAATGTCAATCGCGTGCGCGTTCAGCCCCGAAAGGAGGGGAGATCGCGTTCGAACCCAGAACGGGGACGAACTTCTAGCTCAAGTTTCTACCGTGCTCCGCTTCCGGACCGCGTCCAGCGATAGGCCCGCCGTTAAATAGGACAGAGGGATCGTATAGGCGGCTTAAGGCGCGTTATGTGCCGGGGCTAATGATAGGGCCGTGCCAAAAGCACGCCACACTCGCATCCATTACGGGAGATCCATGCCAAGGTCGAGTTCATCCGATGTCGGCCGATTTTACTTTTTCATCGAGACCGACGCGAGATATACGGTCGGAATCGATCGGCACGATTAAACACGAAAACCCTTTCGAATCGTGAACGGAACGATTCTTCTACCCCGCAGCCTATACACAGCCCCCGTTGCGTCACGTGCGCTCTTACGTTCGCGTTAATAACGGCTGGTTATATCTATCCCGCTTAGCGATCTATTTAAGGCTTCGCGATCGTTGGATGTTAGAATCCTCGGGCGGTCGTCTATACACCGCGTTCGGATTAATTCCATAAGGAACCGATGTCTCGTAGACGTTGGCTGACAAGAGAGAAGCTGTTCCCACGTAACAGGGCGGGCGCAGCTTCAACGTGAACGACCCAATTCGAGATTCGCGTCGGTTACATAAAAGCTGATCACGTTATCCCGTTAAAAGGTGCCAATCACCGACGAGAGGTTTCCTTCGAAAGACTCATCTAATTAACTCGTCCCCCTCGTGGTTGGAGGAGCAACCTTGAACGAGCGATTCGCGCACTCGACTCGACCGATCCTCCGGGAGATCCTTCGGAACGCGCGTTCAATCGCGGTACGTTCGCACGAGGGCCGAGAGAACGAATTCGATTCCCCTGAAGCGCAGCTCCTCCTCCTCCTCTTCCTCCTCCTCCCCCTTCTCCTCCTCCTCCTCCTCCTCCTCGGACGACGAAAGCGAGTCACGCGCGATCGATCGGCAACGCGATGAATTACGCGTAGATATTCGCCGCGGAATCTGTCTACCTGCCGCGCGTCAATTACGTAGGTAATTCCGATGAAAAGCTCTCGTCGGGTTCACTCGCGCGTGTCGATAAAGCAATTTGTTATATAACGCGCAGCTTCTATAGCCACAATGTCAGCAGCCAGCTCTGCCCGGCGTTAGAGGTACACCTCGGAGAAGTAAACGGTTCTATCGACGAGTTTTCAGGAATAGATTCTCGCGTTCGGCTTTGTCCGAGCGCTTAACCCTTGCCCGGCGAGTCGCACCCTAATCGTTTCCTTGAATGGGCGCAGCGGGACGAGAGGAACGCCTGTCGAAAGCGTGGCTCGAAGATGAATTTTCTCGTCGGTTTAACAAGCGCGCCCCGGGGTCGACGGAGAGGCCGAGAATCGACTGTTCCGTTCGGAACGGATTTTGCCGCGGTCGTGACCTCGTTATTCTTTCCAGGTTTCGGTCTGCGACCGTTGGGCCTCGGCGATGACGCAGTTATGCTAATCAGTTATCCCGGAGAGCTCTTCATGAGGCTGTTGAAGTTAATGATCTTGCCGCTGGTGATCGCCAGCCTTATATCCGGTAACGTGCACACGCTCGAACGACATCGAGCGTCCCCGTTTCGAGCGGACGACGCCTGGACAATGACACAGGAACGAAAATTTTCAGGCTCGGCCAGCTTGAACGCGAGAATGAACGGGATGATCGCGGTGCGCACGCTGGTCTACTTCATCCTGACGTCCCTGTTGAACGCCGTCCTCGGCGTGATCCTGGTGATACTGATCCACCCGGGCAATCCGGGGATCAGAAAGTCGATGACGACCTCGCACAACGGAAGGGCCGTCAACATCCTGGACAGCCTGCTAGATTTGGGGAGGTAGCTTTTCTTATCCGCCGTCCACAGGGGTCTACGCCTCGTTAGGTTATCGATCGGAATCGTTATTTTCGTTCTTTCGCGTCGTCACGCATGGCAACAGCCTTCCGGAATTTTTCCACGATAAAAATGGAGTCCCTTGCCCCGTGGTCGAAGCAACGCTCGACTCGTTCCACTGAACTCGCCGCTGACAGCGGGGCTGTCGTGAAAATCGACGCGATAACCTTGCTCGCGTCGGCGGCGGCGGGAATAGCTTATCATCGATCACCGCTCGTTCGTCTTATCTAAACGGGACGGCGGGCGGATCGACGCGGTTCTAAATAATCAATCGGCACTTTCCTATCGACGCTTTGCCATCGACAACATACCGAACTACCGGGGGGAACTAAGCCACCTCGTCAACGGTAGCCCGCCGTTCAATTATTCGACAGAGCGACCGCGACGGTTGGATTAAGGTCCCGCGTAGCTTGACGACCGGTGAACCTTTCTAAGCCGTCGCAATCGAGGATGATACCCAGCGCGATGAAAATAGAAGTATGCATATCGATCGCGCGCGCACTTTACTCGCACCAACGCCGAACGCCGCCGTTTGAAAGCTACGCTGGCCGCACGTGTCTCTTCCACTAATATAGAATCGCGCGTTCTATCGAGAGAGAATCGGCCACGGTGAACCCCCCCGATAAAAAGAGCCGCGTATCGATCGGAGCGTACTTATAAAAGGTACCACTCAACCATCTGAATCGAACTTTCTCGAACGTTACAGAAACATGTTCCCGGACAATATATTCCAAGCGGCGTTCCAGCAAGTACGTGTACCTCTTAATCTATTCTGTGTTCTCTATTCGCTGTCGCCGGGCCGATCCGCCGTCGCGCCGCTAACGCGTACGTTGTTCCCCGCAGGCACACACGGTATACGTTCCAAAGACCCAGCCGTTCCGGAACATGACCGACACCATCTCGACGGAGGTGATGGGCGACGTGGAGCTGACGAGAGTCACGCAGTACAGAAGCGGAACGAACACGTTGGGCATAGTGTTCTTTTGCCTGGTGTTCGGCACGTTCTTAGGTACGCTAGGCGAGAAGGGACAGATCGTGATCGACTTCTTCAAGGCTGTATTCGAGGTCATCATGCGCATGGTGTCGACCGTAATGTGGTGCGTCAGAGAGAGAGATAGTTTTCCAGCGAGATTCTCGCGACGAAACGATAGAACACTACGGGGCGGGCGTCGTTAAACGAAAACTCATTGAATCCGTAGGATGACACCGGTGGGCATCACCTCTGTGATCGCCGGTAAAATACTCGGGGTGACCGACTTGGCGCTGGTGATGTCGCAGCTCGCCTGGTTCATCGTCACGATCTTGATCGGTGTGTTTTTCTATCAGCTGGTGATCATGCAGCTGATCTACCTGGCGGTCGTGAGAAAGAACCCTTTTAAATTCTACGCCGGCCTCGCCCAGGGCACCCTCACCGCCTTCGCCATGGCATCAACGTGAGTCGTCGATCTTCGAACTCAGCCCGACCTTCAGCGTATAACCCATACATGACACGTATCGCCTGCCTCACATGGCCTCGGTCGTCATCGTCGCCGCCTCTGTTCTCCGTGCATATTTTCTTTTCTGTTTCCGTATGGCTCGCAATTCGCATTCTCGATCCTGCCCACGGTATACGAGTAACGTCACCTTTTATACGTTTCACCGTTCGTTCCGTTACGTTACGTTTTGTTTCTGTCGCGGCCGCCGCGAGAATTCGAGACACTTTTTAAAGCCAGGCCGGTAGATGAAGGTAAACAAATACCGAATCGAGATTGATCGAGACAATATGTTTCAGCTAGCCGAGAGGAGGCTTTGCGAGGCCGTGGTCCCGTAATTCCATTCCAAATACCGCTCCGATTTAGAGCAGCGTTTCACAACGTCGGCGCGGTGTGACGTTGTCGAACGCTGACGGAGACGCGTTGCATATTACTTCCCGTCCAATAACAAATATTCTGATTCCCGCTCGGGCTCATTACGTTTCTTTAATGTTCTCACGTTTCTCATTGGGGAGGTCTCGCCACCACCGATGAGAAAGGGAGAAAGAGAGAGAGATATATATATATATAAAAGAGAAAGAGAAAGATGATGAGATAAAAGAGAGAGAGAAAGAGAGAGAGAGAGAAAGGGGGAGAGAGGTATGCAGTTCTGGGTGGCACTTAGGATGCGGATACTCCCGGTTGTCGATTGATCGTCCGCGAACTTTCGGTGTAAAACTTTGCTTTTTGTCTGTTTCGCTCTCTCCATCCGGTCCGTCCGTGCGTGTTCGATTCGTCCTGATCGAATCGAACCTCGATACGAAACCGAAATTTCGAGGCGCGCGGCGCAACGCATGTGCGAACAGAGAATATACGCAGGATCATGAAGGACACGTGAAAGATACACAAGTGCATGGGAACGGTGTTTCGTGTCTCTTGAGCCGGAAATCAGCTGACTCCGTGTCACCTGGACTGATTACCGGCGTAGAAGCCTTCGAGGGCTTCCATTATCCGAATCTTCCAGTCGTCCCAGCCGCGATGGTAATCGACGGAAGAAGAAGATATCGCCAAAGGAGGCTTCCGCGCCGGCCAATGTTATTATGTAAGCATCACCTACATTCTCGAATAACAGTGGGAAACTGAAAAAAATATTGATTGCTCGCGTCGAGCCCGCTCTTCCAGGTTTGACGGCGACGTCCATCACTGGCCAGAACTGCTGAACTACGATCGCTTTCTCTTTATTATCGTTCACTATTTGTATATTCATTCTCTCCGCGGATCACGCGAAGCAACGATCATTTTTTCAGTTTATCCGACAACGTTTGCCAAACGTCCGAATCCCCTGTCTCCCCTTCCGTTCTCTTCACCCTCGACGCTTTCCCACCGATTCTCGTCCTCCCCTTTCCGACCCGAACCGTCCGTCACCCTTGACACCCTTTCTCTGTTCCCCTCACCCCTTTCATGCTCCCGTCCCCCTTCTGGTCGGTCCTTTTTTTCTAAAATGCATCGTGGGACAGAGAAGCATTCGTACCCGAAACCGCTTGGAAACGAAACGATTCCAGGCGTTGAATAGCTCGTGCTTCGAACCTTTTCCGTCCCATCGTCGCGGTGCCTCGAAAATCAAGATCGTTCTAAACCGTCCCGTCCGCAACGGCAATGTCTAATTCAACTTGTTTTCTATGTGGATTAACTTTTTCCAGAAGAGAGCGTACACAACTGTGCGTACACTGTGACTGATAGAAACAGCTCTCAGTCTATCTGAACAGAGACTGTATGAATATCATGATGATGTATTAGAGCACGCGCTGCACGCGGCCTTTTGCAGGTGGTTCAGAGAGAGAGAGGTCGAGGGTGGCCTTGGTAAGTAATCGATGGCCGCAACATGAAGGTACATACGATTGTCTGTTACAGGGTTAGGCACACTGCGAGACGCAACGGACGATCACCTTCTGCCCCCCAACCCCCTCCCCCGACGCCGTCCTGATTAACCCTAGGTTGATTTTCAGCTCGTCTCACGGTCATTCTGGTT